ACACACACACAAAATTAGGCAAGATACTTACCTCAAGTAAGCTAAATCAATTCACTAATAACCCTTTCCCGCACAAATCAACCTCCGGACGGCTCAAATCTAGCCAAAATAACTTAATATCATAAATAAAAGCCATAGGAAGCGATTCCGATAATAAAGCTTTGATCTTTAACTAAAATAAAAAAGTCAACCCCGGGCTCGCACCCTAGAACCCGACAAAACTCACAAAAAATGACACCAAATTTTGCAGACAAGTTCCAAATATCAAAACGCACCTATTCCAAGTCTCAAAACCAAATTTCGAATTCGATAGCCAAAAGTCAACCTACGGCCAGACTTGAGAAAAACTTCTAAACATCAAATTGCCAACTTTCGGTAAAACAATACAAATCAACCTACGGACCTCCGAATTTGATTCCGGGCATACGTAAAATTCCAAAATCACGATATGAACCTGTCGGAGCCATCAAAATATCGTTCCATGGTCATTTTCACAAAAGTCAAACTTTGGTCAATATTTCTAACTTAGGCTTCTATGCCAAGAACCAAAGGGTCCAAATCAACCCAAAAATCCACCCAAAATGAAATTAACCAACCCCACAAGTCATAAAATCATAAATGCACATATGTGAAGCATAAAAAGGGGAAACGGTGTGCAAATACACAAAACGACCGGTCAGGTCGTTACAAAATAAAACTCTAGTTAACCACGGTCAACATTCCTGGTAAACGATCTCGGATCAGTGTTTTGATGATTTTGGTAAGTTCGTATAATATTTTTGGACTTGTACGCACTTTTGGTTGGGGTTCGGGATGACCCGAGCATATTTCGGCGCGTTATGTGAAAAATTGTGAAAATAAGTTTTCAAGTTGAAAATCATGAGTTTTGATAATCGATTAATGTTATTTGATGTTATTTTGATGATTTGAGATAGTGAGCAAGTTTATATGATGTTATTAAACTTGTGTGCATATTTAGTTTGGAGACTGAGAGACTCGGATAAGTTTCGGATATGTTACGGAAGAGTTTGAGCCATTGAGCAACTGCTGGTGCATTACCAGTTGCTGGTGTCTGATGCAGATCGTCTGGCTCACAACGCAATTGCGAGCCTCGCTTTTTGCGAACAAGAATTTACATTTGCGAGCAGAGGCCTGGGCTAGGTGACCTCGCATTTGCGAGCAGAGGCCTCGGCTAGGTGACCTCGCATTTGCGAGGAAAATGTTCGCATTTGCGAAGTTTGGGCAGCTGCTTTTGTGAACATCTTGGTCGCATTTGCGACCACTAGTAGCTATTGTCATCTTTGCATTTGCGAAGAATTTGGGCGCATTTGCGATGGGGGGTCTTTTGTATTTATGAACAAAGTGTCGCATTTGCGACTTCTGGGCACCTGATGCACTGATCGCATTTGCGATCCGTGTTTTGCATTAGCGGTATTCACAATTGCGAACAAGAGTTCGTAATTGCGATACCTGCATCTGGGTAAAAGAGGGGGTAAATGGGACTTAGCTCATTTTCCATTATTTCTCAACCCTAAACACTCTAGAGTTGATTTTATTGAGATTATTTCCTCCTAAAATCATTGGTAAGTAACTCTAATATACTTTCTTTCAATTTTCCATTACTTTTCATGAGTTTTTAACATCTAATCTAGGATTTTCATGGTAAAAATTAGGGATTTAGGTAGTATCATGACCCGGAATCCCAACCTCGAGGAGGTGATGGCGCCAAACATTTCACTTTCTACGCAAGCCGATGCTAGTTAATTACTTAACCAGTTTTATAAATTTAAATCAAAACATTAATAATAATAAACCGTGATAGCCTAAAATAGATATGATACGTGTAGTGTAAACTAAACATATCCCAGAAATCTGGAGTCACGAATACATGAGCATATAGAGTAGTACAGGTAAAGTCTGAATAAGAATACATCTGTTTGAAATAAGGTAAACAGTAAAGATAGAATGGAAGGGGACTTCAGGGACTGCGAACGCCAACAACTCTACCTCAAGTCTCCTACTCAAAGGCGGATCTAGAATTTGATGGTTACGGGTGGCACTCAGGGGGCGAATGCACATTTATCGAAGCAGTGTCAGGCGACACCGCTTCGCGAATTCTTTTGCTAAATATATGTATTAATACTGCAAGGAAGCGGATAAGTAGGAAAAAATGACATCATTTGACATAATTTGTCTCATGGTATATTGGTTATGTGGTTTGTTTTGCTCTAAGAGGTCATAGGTTCAAACCTCAACTAGCACATCTTTTTTTCTTTTTTTTTTTTGCAAATATTTGAGAGAATCTATGCGGTTAAAAATTGTGATGAAGTAGAATTTAATTCAGGACTTTTTTGACTTAAGACTCAACAAAACCAATAGACTAAAGTTATTTCTTGTCTAGAAGTATGATAATTAAAGTTATTATTCTCGTTCTTCTATAAATTTTGA